CGTAACTGAAGTCTGTACCAAATTCAGGTACCTTTATCATTTGTTTTTATACGTAACTGAAGTCTGTACCAAATTCAGGTACCTTTATCATTTGTTTCTATATGTAACTCAAGTCTGTACCAAATTCAGGTACCATTATCATTTTTTTTCTATACGTAACTGAAGTGTGTACCAATTTCAGGTACTTTTATCATTTGTTCTTAAACACAATTATTGGCTGTTTATTACAAGTTACAGTTTTTACAGTAAGTAAGATTTGTTTTTAGAATAGGTATGATGTTTCAATTACTTATGCGATCTTTCTTAAGTACACAAGTTTTAACTGTAAGAAAAAACAAACAAGAAACTTGTGTATTGGAGAATGATCGCACCAGTGATAAAAAAATTGGTCCTGTTCTAAATACAAATCTTTCTTACGTTAAAAGCTGTAACTTGTAATAAAATATACTTAATCGGTAAGTGAACTCAAAATGAAATTATACATTCATTGGCTGTTTGTGATCAAGTAAGAAATATTATTTTGTTTGTGTAGGTACTGGTTTTGGAACAACAAAATGATGATGGAACTTGGCCAAGGCAACTAAAAAGGTTATTTCTTGCAAGTTTTATTTTTAATTAGTGAGAGACAAATGAGTTTATATCATTATCTATGTGTATCTAAGTCTAACAAAGTATTAAATGACTTAAATAAGATTGATAGTAATTACATTTCACTTGTTCTAGTTCACACTGTTAAAGTTGTTCATACAGTTGGTAATATAAATGATGCGTAAACCACTGCCATGTTCGTTGTATTCCAGCCGATCTGGTGAGTTCTGATATTGGGCAGAAGGGCTTTTCGGCACTGGATACGGCAGATACAGTGAGGTTAAGATATTAGTACATATTCTTAAACTAATTAAAGTTTAGAATAGTAAGAGGGGGGGCAGTTATGACAGTAATGTGTAAGCCACCTGAGCTGATGAGGGTTATTTGCTGTTGATGAAATCTGTATATTCAGACAGTAATATGTAAGCCACCTGAGCTGATGAGGGTTATTTACTGTTGATGAAACCTGTATATTTAGACAGTAATATGTAAGCCACCTGAGCTGACGAGGGTTATTTACTGTTGATGAAATCTGTATATTTAGACAGTAATATGCAAGTCACTTGAGCTTATGAGGGTTATTTACTGTTGATGAAATCTGTATATTTAAACAATAATATGTAAGCCACCTGAGCTGACGAGGGTTATTTACTGTTGATGAAATCTGTATATTTAGACAGTAATATGTAAACTACCTGCACTGACGAGGGTTATTTACTGTTGATGAAATCTGTATATTTAGACATTTCAGTTTCTGAGGTTGAAGGCTCTCATGAAATATCTGGTGACATTCTGAAGACGAGAACAGCTAGAGGAGTTGCCTATAAGTTGTATTGATTTGGGTTTTACAGTTTAGCATTATAAGAAGATGAGCATTTCCAGTTGAAAACAAGTAGATCAGTTGTCTGTAGGTTGTATTGACTTGGGTTTTACAGTTTAGTATTATAAGAAGATGAGCATTTCCAGTTGAGAACAAGTAGATCAGTTGTCTGTAGGTTGTATTGACTTGGGTTTTACAGTTTAGTATTATAAGAAGATGAGCATTTCCACTGGAGAACAAGTAGAGCAGTTGTCTGTAGGTTGTATTGACTTGGGTTTTACAGTTTAGCATTATAAGAAGATGAGCATTTCCACTGGAGAACAAGTAGAGCAGTTGTCTGTAGGCTGTATTGACTTGGGTTTTACAGTTTAGCATTATAAGAAGATGAGCATTTCCAGTTGAGAACAAGTAGAGCAGTTGTCTGTAGGTTGTATTAATTTGGGTTTT